ACACCTGTGTTTCTGTAACCACAGCATCACCAAACTCCTAAATAAAGATCCAAAACACTCCCGATATTCAACATTCATTTATATTCATTCTTTCTTCCTCCAACCCACTTACTGTCAGGGCTGAAGAAACCAGGGAACTTGGAGAAAACCCACCTACACTGGGGAGCCTCTGGGAACTCCCTGGCAACTGGCCTGCCCAAGAATGGATTGCTTTTTGCTCATCAACAGCACAACAATGCTGAGAGAAACAGTGCCATTCGAGGACTTGCTATAAGTGAAGAGGAGAAGAAAGCACATGCAGACCATGCGCCTTAAGTGCTGGGGCCGGTGGGGGTCGCAGTCTAAGTTGCAGAGAAGGCGTCGCTAGGGACTACTTCTCTTCCACAGGCCCACTCCGACGGCGTATCTCAAGATAATGCCTCCCGAGAACTACACACATGGAAATACACCACCCATGGGCAAGTTCTATTTCCAAAAATGTACTAGTTTATCTGGAATCCCACATTTAGTATGGAACAAAGGAAAACTGCTTACAGAGAAGTAGACTGCAGGCCTGGAAGAAAAGGCCTTTGACTGAGATACTTAAAGGGAAAGTTTGTTTTGTTGGGGGACTGAATCAGAGATAAAGATACCTAGCATCCTTACCATTATTTGCAAAACTGAATTAGAATTATGTGGGGTTAATGTGCCAGCCTTCTCTTAAAATCAGTAAGAATAATTTTGAGGAAATGAACCCGTTAAATAATGAAGCTTCCGTATCTTCAGACTTTTTAGGTTGAATTTTGTGGAGCTCACAATGTTCAGTATTTGTTTTTAATGCCCCAAATTGCTATTTTCCCACCTAATACAACAAATTTAGTTTAATAAGTAGTTTAGTCTCATTAGGCTCCTGAAAAGCTCACTAGAGCTACATACCCAATGTCACTGAGTTGTGTTTCAAAGTCAAGGCTTTATTTGGCTGTTTCTACTTTTCCTCATATAAGAAAAAGATTATATTAGAAAAGTTTATTCCCTATTATTTGCAGCTTTGATTGTATTTCCAGAGAAATGAAAAGTGGACAAGGTCCCAGGCTAGACCTCAAGGACTATCTATCCTTAAGGTAGTTAAATACTTCGCACTTGCCACAAAGCAAGAAACCACATTTCCCTGATACCTGGCCTTTGAAAATCATTTACCGCCTTAGCCACTAAGCACCTGTATGCAAAACCTTCATGTCTCCATGATGCAGGAATCATCTTTACAGACAGGCTTTCCCCCTTCACAGAGGCCTCAGACTCCACAGAAAAGGAGAGCTACACAGCCATACCACAAAAACTGGTCTTACAAGGTTGGCTAGAGGGGTTCTGCTTGTGAGCTTTTAAAACAATAAGAAGGACCAGAAATTCTGATAGTCCTTATCAGTAATGATCAGGAAATGTTCCATTCATGGGGTTCCTACTGTTCTGTATAAACTGCAAATATTAAGGGGATGAAGAATTTTCCAAAAGCAGGTCCAAAGGGGGAAGAGGGATTAAGCTCAGGATCAGGATAAGAACCAAAAATGGGTTGAGTTGTAGTTATTTAGGCCAGAAACTTTTAGTCTTTTAGAAACAAAAATTAAGTACATAACAAACACTCTATAATGTTGTCCAACAGAACTTTCTGTTGTGGTGAAAATGTTCTACATGTCTGTGCTGTTTCATACCGTAGCCATAAGCCATGTTGTGACTGTTTAGCACCTAAAATGTGGTTAGTGAGGAACTGAATTTTAAATTTTATTTCATTTTAATTAATCTAAAAGTAGATAGCCAAATGTAGCTAGTGACTATCCCACTGGACAGTCTTTTTCTTCATTCTCTAAGTCAGTGGTTCTCAAGCAAAGGCAGTTCCTCCACCTCAAGGAACAAATGCTTCATCTGAGCTGTTGATGGTTGTCTTGTGCCACTGCGGGGGGGTGCGGGGTGGGGGGGTGGGGGGGGGGGATGTGTGTGTGTGTGTCCTACTGGCATCAGCATGCAGAGATGCTACTAAACATTCTGCAATGCTCAGGACAGCACCCACAAGAGAGAATTATCCAGCCCCAAATCTCACTAGTACTGAGGTTAAGACACCCTGCTCTTAAGTTTACTCAAGGTTGGAATTAAAGTAAATGTTAAACAAATTGCAATACACCTTGTCTAAACATAATATCCAGGAAGGATGTGATTCTCCAAGCAATAGGAAAAGGTCTGGGCTGTTCCACCAGTTGAAAGTAGCAGGTTTTTACTACAAAAAAAAAAAAAAGAAAGAAAAAGAAAAAGGTATGTAGGTGTACTGAATAATTTATTAAGCTTGTCAGCATCAGACTCGTTATTTCTGGTGGCATTTTAAAAAGCTGAATATTAATATAAGTAAAAACAATGAGACAATGCCACAGGGTCTTTTCCTTATGAACTGGGCACAGAGTAGTGGTGGGGTTGAGGCTCACACTCTTCAATTTGAATTCCTTGCCCCCCTCAATGAACTTATCTGGTTTCTCAAGACATCACTAATTTTGGATACAAGAAAAAGGATACTACTGTGACAGAGAAGCAAATGAAGATGAGAAAATGACTGTCATTGCAGGCCCACACATCTCCATGTTACCTAAAGAAAAAGCAAGGGTGCAGAAATACATGTGGACCAAAGCAAAAACTCCATGACCGCATAACACATTTGAGAGTGAGAGACATTACTTAATATTTAGGAGGATGGAGATCAAATAACTTTGTGGTTTCTGTAACCAGTATAAATTATGCAAGGATTACTTTAAATGGGATCATTCAGAACTGCTCAGATAGTTCACAAATTTTTATCAGTAACGTAGAATTTAACTCAAAATAGTCTATTCCTCAAAAAAACAAACAAACAAACAAACAAACAAACAAAAACCCACAACACCAGGAATAATGGATGCAATTCAATGTTTTATTTTGAATCAAAACTGTTTTTTGGAATACAAAATCCTCATATTACAGCAGGGCCTTTTCTTAGCACCAACAGAAATTATCCATTGCTTCGGGAATATAAAAATCAGACACAGTCCTAGTTCTGAAAAATTTACATTCAGAATTTTTATGCTGGCCTATGGCAGAAACTTCCAGCCCACACATTCTGAATTCCTAAAAGATCACTGCAATTTTTGTGACTGTGCCAGCCTTGAGTGCCCTGGAGTTTCACTACTTTAGATCTTCATTTGGAAAACTTAATATTTATGGAACCACCACTGTAATCCACTAATCCAGACGAGTAATATGTAAAGTAGGACTCCTACCTGTAAATCTGTTTTATAGATTTGCCCATGAAGAACCGCTCCAGGAAGAAAGAACACCCTAGTTCCTAACTGAAGGTTCCTAACTGAAATGACACAAAGCTCATCTTCTTATGCAACTGGAAACACTACTCAAGGGACATGTTTAGCATCGTTTTGTATTCAATTATTGGTGTTATACACATGATTCAGAGCAAGGGCTGTGGTCTCAGCGCTGACATTTTGACCCGGATGATTCTCTGCATGGGTACTGTCCCTTCCACTGTGGAATGTCTACCCACCTCCCCGGTCCACCCACTTGGTACCTCCCTAGCCTCCAGCTGTAACAACTAAACTGTCTCTTCCTATCCCTTAGGAAACAAAACTGCCCCCAAGCTGACCATCCCTGACGTAGACTGAAACTCAGAGTACCAGAAGGCAGATACTGTGCTAATCAGAAGCGGAAAGAGTTTATTCCTAGCCAGAAAAACATGTGACAATCACCACAGAGGTGCTGGAAGAAAAACATATGGGAGGAAAAACTCATCCTTTTCCTTCCTTTATTGCCTTCCCCCAATTTACAAGAAATAACCCAGGAGCTGGCAGGCTATGTACCATTGTGTTCACATTAAGACATCTGACTCAACTTGTACAATTACTCCCTTCAACTCTCCCAGGACCAGTAAACAAATCGAGAGCAGCGGGCGCACTGAAAATGACAAAATGTTATTTGTCAGTCCAGAATTAAAATTAAGCAGTCTTAAAACACCCGCATTGCTCCTGAATTCCATACATTCCGAAGGTATGAAAAAAAGTGGGTTCGCACCAAACTGGACAGACGGCCAAGAGGGAAGTGGGATAAGAACTTTACAACGTGGGGCTCTTAAGGTAGGTATCCAAGCAAAACCAGAAACTGGTTCTCCCTGACAAGCCCTAACTCCGGGACAGTTCGAGTCCATTTCACACGCTCGAGCAGGCAGGTACATCAGGTTACTTCCCCAAGGGGAGTGGGAGGGGGGGTGTTGGGACAGAAGAATGCGCAGCCACCGATGGATTTCGGATTGACACGAGACTCTCTCCTCGCCACTTTGCAAAGGAGTGGCCACAAAGTTGGGGAGCAGCTGCGAACCCCGAAAGAAAGCTCACCCCTTTTTGGGCCTGCGGGTCTCCGCGCTGTGCACCAGCTACTGCATCAGAATCACGTGGGAACTCGTTAACACGCAGGTCCCGGGCCCGCCCCCACCCCCCTCCCCAGGTTCGAACCCGCGGGCTGAAAAATCTGGATTTTTTTCACCCCGGGCCCAGCTGATTCCCAGCAACGCTGGGGCTGGACAGACCCTGCAATCACCGCTTTCCCTCCCCGCTGGCGCCCACCGCTGGCCACGCTCTGCAGCCGGCTCCGAACCCGCCGGGTTTCTGCCCAGGCATCCCGGGGCCGCGAGGGGTCAGCCCCGGCGTCCGAAGGGGGGAGCCGAGCTCAAGCCGGGCCCGAGGCCGGTCCGGGCCGCTCGCCGCCCTCGACAGAACCCGGCCCGGCCCCTCCGGGCCCGCGGGGCCCCGAGACGCCTCCGGGCCGGTGCAGGGGCCGGGCCGGGCCGCGAGCGCCGGACAGCGCGCCCTCGAGGCCAGGCCGCCGGCGGGGCCCGTTAGCCGCCGGCTGCCTCCCGGTCGGACGGCAGCTCGCGGCCGCCAAACAGTCGCCCGGAGGCGGGGACCCCGGGCCGCGGCGCCGCCCCGCACCCCGGTACGCACCTTCTCCAGGGACGCGTCCATGGCTGAGGCGGCGGCGGAGCCCGATGGGAAGCCGGCGGCCCCGGCGCTACTTCCGCCTCCCGCGCCCGGCCGCCGCGTCCACGCTGGCAGCGCTGACGTCCCCCGCGCCCGCGACCGGCGGGGCGGAGACCAGGAGGAGCGGCCCGGCTGCGCCGCCGGGTGGGGAACCTGCGGGTCGCGGGAGGCGGGGCGGGGCCCCTCGGGGTGGGCGGGGCCCTCCGGGCTTCCGTACCTGGGCGTCACGCCGGCCAGCCCCACGTGCCCAGGTGAGAGGGGGAGCGTGGACAGCGGAGCCGCTCCGAAAACTGTTCAGAAGACTGCCAAGGACTCAGAGTAGGCATATAGACATATAATAGTTATAAATTATTTTTCACGCGGTGAAAACCTGGAAATTCTGTGGCGCTCCTGTACCTCCAGGCCTAGACGTCCAAGTTTCCCCCACTGTCCCCCTCCTTCAGAAATGGAACAGGCCACTCAGCGCAGGGGGCGGGGCTAACGAGCGCCGTGTGCATGCGCGGGACGCATAGTTTTCTAGGTGCCGGGAGGTCTGCGGGGGTCAGGTGGTGGTCTCGGCGAGTGACGACTAATCTGAGCGCGCGCTGATTAGAGCGGGAGGGTGGGGGGAGGGGCTTCCCTGCAGAATTCTGGAGGCAGGACACTCGAGGCTGCGGAACCTGTTCCTCCTCCCTGTCAAAGCACAGTTATGACCCGTCAGGTGATGGGTGATAATAATAATAATAATTAATAAAAATAAAAATTAGGTCCACTGCTCTTCCGTTTCCAATACAGCAGCTCTGTGACGTGGAAGGCATTATTATCCCCTTTTGCAGTGCCAGTCTAGGGGGGACTCAGGCCCCAGCACACTGACTGCAGCTCCTGTGCACTGCATGCATATCCTGCCTGCAAAACCGCTTCCACCCCTGCCGTGGGAATGGGAGGAGGCGTGCATTTGCTTATTATAGTCCTCCAGTGAGGAAGACTGAAATAGTCTACCACGGATGTTGTCAATGAAATATTTCATCTCCAGAAGGTCAACGAAGGTACAACCGCAAATACATCTCTTTTTTTCCTCCTGTTTTCTGCACGCATTTCTTCCAAAATCTGCAGATAACCAGGTCACATTTTCAGTGTAATCATATTTTGAGCTTTCTAACTTGTATTTGATAAAAGCCTGATTTTTTTTTTTTTAAGATTTATTTATGCATACAAGAACTGGAGTACAGGCCAGAGGTGCGGGGGCGGGTGGTGGTGAGAGGACTCTCCAGAGACAGAGTGGGGAACAGAACAGGCAGATTGACTGAAACACACTGCTGAGGGGAGCAGGGGGCGAGACCGGAGAGGTCTGTCTCGCCATGTGGGTTTCTCCCTGGCCGGCCTGGGGATAGAATTCTTGCTGCAGAGGCTGCGGATTGTTTCACAGTGCGGTGCTTAACCCCCTGAACCACCAGGGAGGCCCAAACCTGGTTATTTTAACAGTTATTTTCTACCAAAGTAAGCCCTAGTGTGCTGGATTAGTGTATCATGGGAACTATTTGTTAGGGGGAAAAGGATGTCCTAAAGCTAATTCCATACAGGCGTTGTGGACTCCACCCCCACCCCAGGCCAAAGCCAAAGACACTGGGAACTCCAAATCCCATCACCACCAAAGGAAAGGTGGCTGGGACCTGAGGGTGGGGTTAAGCAGCCAGGTTGGTATAAAGCCAGACACGTGGCTTTGGAGGGGTCCCCCATTTTGGCTCTCCGCCCTCTCGCAGTGTCTGGCCAGCTCTGAGAGTGCCTTTGGGTTTCCAGGTCTGCGGATCGGGTAGGAGGCATTAAAGACTTTATTTCCCTATTTTCTCCCTGAGTTGTACACTTTCCTTATTTCCTTTTCCCTTGTAAATAAACCTTTTATTAACCTTTTGTGTGTGCCTGTAGTGGAGTATTAATAAGTCCCTTTTAAGCGCGTGGGTGAGGACCCACAGCCAGGCAACCCGTTCAATATCGGGGCTGCCCTACAACATATACACATTGTCTAAGGATGTATACTTTCCCAAAACTGAAAATGGAATGTACCTCTGCTTGGGCAACACAAGCCACTTTCCCCAAGGTGTTATTATGAAGATGTTCAAGCATTTAGAAAAGTTGAAAGAATTGTACAGTGAATATCAGTACCCACTGCCTTGATCCTACAATTAACATTTCCCTGTATTTGCTTTGTTACATAGGGCTCCATCCTTATAGCTTGTGTTTTGATACGTTTCTAATTTGCATACATCAATACATTTCACTCCCAAACACTTCAGCATGGATATCATTAAATTTCTAGCAATTTCTAATGTCACCTCCAAGTATCTGTGGATTGCATTATAGAATAGATTCTACAAAACAAATATTAGAGAAACGAAACATTTATTGTAAAGGTAGACTTTAAAACTCAACGTGAAAAAGTGGGAATAGTTGATTTCTTTAATATTTATCCAAATATTTATTGCCTACCATCTCCGACAGACACTAGAAATACACAAGAATAAGCAATATTCCTGTTCTATAGTTTTCACTTTGGGACAAAGAGAAAGTCTATGAAACTCCTAAAAATAGACCCCAACTTTTGTGTGGCGTGCATTTTTTTGGGGGGGAAATGCCCATAGCGTCCATTTTATACTCAAGTTTTTGATAGATGCATGTGCATGCGCACACACACATATACACACACGGCAAAAAATGTTAAAACCACTTGACTTGTATGTTAGCTAATAAATTATAATGCAATATTTTATGGGCTAGTATAGAGATATAAGAAAATATTCTAAGAAGTCAGAGCATGAAACTACTTATTGTGAGAAAGTTTAATCTCTGCTGACATTCGGTGTACACGCATTGATGCAGTCTTTTATTTATTAATAGGCAAAAAGCAAACCAAGTAAAGGAAGTAAGAAGTTAAAAAGTAGAGGAAATAAAGCAGGCTCCTTCCCCCTTTGAATCCGTTCACATCATTTTGTGTCCTGGATCACATTTATTAGCCATATAGCAGATGTTTTTTAGCCTTTAACTTGTAGGATCAACCAAGTGACACATGTGTAAGATATATTAATTATTCACCATGACCATGTGAAAATGATAATAAATTACCAAAACTTGGCAGAAGAGATAAGGTGAATAGAAAGGTAAATGGAGCCACTAAAGTCCTTAATTTATTTTAGCAGGTAGCTACTCTCTAAAAGGGCTACATCAAGATAGATTTTAAGTATAATATTTAAAAACATAAAGGAAACCCCTAGAAGAAATAAGAGTTAACAAAAATCTGGAGTTGGAGAGAGAGAGCACATACAGTAATAAACTCATTTTTTATAGTAGTGAGCCAGCAGAGTCTTTATTATACATTAAGAAACAGATATGAGTATTTTTCACAAAGCAGGAGGTGAAGGATTCTTTGAAATGGGATTGGGGGAATGGAGACGAGGGAAAAGGAATATTCTTTTGCGCTATTTGAATTTTTATCATTTTCCTGTGTTTTGCTTGTGGATTAAAAAATTTAAGTAAATTGCCTGTAGAAAAAAAAGTCTTAATTTTTTTTTGTTTTAATTTACTAAGGAATTTAAGAGAGAAGTCTGCAATCCCTAAGGAGGACTTGAGGCGGCAACCCTGAGACCACTTTTATCCCATCCTGCCTCATTAGTTATACGAAGTTCATTTAGTACCATTTTAATGAAAAAAAGTAAAAAAAAAACAAAACCTAAAATCTCTTTATTGTTAAAATAAAGAAAACAGCATAAAAAATGAATTGGCATTGATCGACACCCTATAATTACACCACCACCACCCTTCCTCCTTGGAAGGGAAACTGAGACCCGTAAGCCTTCCAGGTGTCCCTCCCTAAAATAATCCCCCATCGTCACCCCAAGATAAAATATCCAACTCCTGACCTTTACACTAATTATGTTCTTATTGTTTCTTTGTCATTTGCTCACCCAAACATGCAGTCCTAAACGTTATAATTTAACTTCACCTTTAAATACATCCTCTTGGTCTCTTGTAATCTTTTGGCTTTCATTTTTTTTTCTCTTTTGCAAAAAATTTTTTTACAGGCCAGAGGTCTTCGTTTATTTTTTTTTCACACCTATGGCACCATGAATTCATAGGGAATGGGTCCCAGCAGCTCAAGCACCTTTCCGTGGGTTTTCACACAGTGAGTTTTCCAGGGGGAGCGGGCTGGCCCTTCAGCTGAACCCCAGTTGGCTTCCTTTCCTTTTCTTCCGATCATTTTCTTTCACATATTTCAGGAAGCTATCTTGGCCCTGAGAGCACTTCATATGCTTAATGTGAACATGAATTCTCTTGGCAAGAATCTTGCACTTGTTTACAATACCACCTGTGACACAGTATAGACTCTTCCAGTGTTGCCATGGTCACGGTGCCCCTGATATGTCTACACTAACACCGTTCTTGTAGATTCGCCTGTGTGGGCTGGTAGGAGCACCCTGTGTTTTCTAAAAGGCCTGGAGAACATACAGCAGTTACCTGTCCTCTTCCCCTAGGTGTTGTTTGTTTTGGTGATTTACTGCAAGATGACAGCTTCAGGTGGAAGGGACACTCCTTTGCAATTCATTTTTTTTTTAATAGAGGCATGTTTTTATTTATTTATTTGTTTGTTTATTTGTTTATACAAGCACTGGGTACAGTCAGAAGCGCGGGAGGGTGAGAGAATTCACCAGAGCCAGAGCGGGGAGCAGAGCAGGCAGAAGGACCGAAGTATACTGCTGAGGGGAGCAGCGGGTGGCAGGAGAGTCTGCGCGCCATGTGGGACCCTCCTCTGGTGGCCGGGGAGCAGCCGGGGATCGAACCGGCACCGCAGAGGCCGCGGGCAGCTTTGCAACCCAGCGCTCAACTGCTGTGCCACCGGGGAGGCCCGCAATTCATTTGTTGACACCAGGTTATTGTTCTAGGATTTCCTGTAGTCTGGGTTTTCCTCCGTTCTGTGAATTTCCTGCAAACTGGTAGCTGGATTGAGGTTTAAAGTGTTGGGGACATTCAGAGGTACAGTTGGACTCTCCATCAACACACACAGAATACCTGGTTTTCTCTCTTTTTGTTGT